CGTGTACGTGTGCTGATCTTTGTAATTATAAATTGTGAATACATGTGACTAATATTATTTTCTTTTTTATTTTGTGCATGTTACAAATTATAAATAAATATAAACAAACAACACTAACTCAATAACATTAAATCTAAATACCAAAATGATTAATTTACTGTGTTTTTGTTATTTATTACTCCTGTTTTTAGGTATTCGGTATTCGGCCGAATAGTGATTAAATATTTGGTATTCGGCCAAATAGTGAAAAATAGGCCAAATACCGAATAGTAACCGAATATTCATTACATCACTAAAAAAAATTGATCAGTCCGAAGGACAAGGAACGAAAATCCATCTCCCCTAACAGAAAGGAAAACAAAATAACAGAGGAAAGGGTGCACTAACCAAAGATAAAGTGTGGACTGGCACATGTGGAGGAGAAAAATAAACAGAACCAAAGTCCACCGAAAGTAGATTGCCAGCGAGAACAACAACCAGAGTCCAATCAACAAACAGTTTGATCGACAGTTCTCCAAACATCCATTAATGTTATAGTCATCTTCTTCACCATGATATTTACAATTTTCTGAATCCCAATTTTTCCAATATTTGCATGCTTCAGAACCTCAACATTGCCGAATCCAAGAACGTTAGACGATTAAAGACCAGTCAGGTTAGAGATAATTGCTCCAAAGTGCAAAATGATTAGGGAGCATAACTGCTAGGTAGCAAAAGGGTATTGACCTGACCGAAAAAAACATTTATATTTACTTCGATACTTGCATTATTGTGGTTTGATTTTGATCACGTAACAATAACAGAGAGAGAGTAAAATGCCTATCTGTAAACAATAAGGTCATAGAAAAATCATGATACACGATTGTACGTGATAAATCTTTGTTTAATATTTTTTATATTAACATATTTTTTCTATATTATCCCAGAGAGAGAGAGAGAGAAAGTGTATGCTAACACAAATTATTATATATATCATTTGTATAACAAAATTACCATTATGTCACTAAATTAAAGTTGAACTTGCATTTTAAAGAACAGCAATGATTTTAGAAAGGCCAGGGTGATGTGATACTCTGAATTTTAACAAAAATCAATCATAGTGTGGAAAGATAATTGGTATTCTTTCATTTATGACATCATTTGTGATCTTTAACAGGTTTGTGATAGCTTAGGTGTAATTTTTAATAAATTATTTATTGAAAAAACAAAAATATTTGAAAAATTATACCTACTTGGCAACTATAAAGCAGACAAATCACTATTTTGTTATTTATTAGTCTTTTAGATCATAAATGATGATATAAATGCAAGAATACCAAATATATTTCCATCCTTGAAGTGGCTATCAAGTCACTTTTGTAACTTTACATTCAAATTCTTGCTGCTTAAACTGACCTTTGTACCCCTCCGTTCATAACAGTTTCATTTTTCTTTTTTGTTACTTTTGCCCTGGTCTTTTTTGATGAATTAATAATTAATCAATATTTATATTTTATTGTAATTTTTATGCTTCATGTAAAGTATCTTGTTCAATCTGTTTGCTATTTACAATTCAATTAAAATGAGATTTTTACAGCTAAAAGATAAAAATATACTGTATATATATTTTAATTGTATATCCTACTTATACTTTTTGGTATATTCATATTCCTAATGCAAATTTGATGTTTTCTTATTTCATCATATTCTTTGTTATATGATGATTATACTAAAAGATAGTAGATGCCAGCATGTACTATACTTTTTAATAGTGGACAAATTTCTCTGTCCCAATAATGTCCACTGTTTGGAGGTTGTACTATATATATTTAACGAAAAGTATTTGTAAAATCAGTTGATACACAAAATTTAAAAATTTCAACATATTATTTAATTAATTAATATAACTATTTTATATTTTAAACAGGATAGGTACCTTTTACAGTCCACTGCTCCCTCTAGTCACAATAATCAAATTGTTTCTAATATTTTATGTGAAAAGATACAGTGTGTTATTTAACTGCAAGCCATCAGCCAAACCTTGGTATGCTGCTAATGTTCACACAGTTTTTATAGGACTCACATTTGGGAATTTTATTTTGGCTCTTATTGCTGTTACTTACACGGTGTTCAAGTAAGAATTTTTTTAAAATTAATATTTAATGAATTATTGTTTCTTTAATAATAAGATTTTATCTAAGAATTTTCATGAATCAAAATTATGATACCAATTATATTATGCATAATATAGTTATCTGATTTTTTTTGCTTTATTTATTATAGTGAATGATTATATACATTATATTTTTAATCTCTTCCAATTTATTTTATTCTTCTATCATCAAAACCTGTAATCTGAAATACAAGATAATATTAGGAAACTTCACTGCCTGTAACCGCTTTTCTTCTTCTCCAATGCATTAACTTCAAACAAGAAATGAAGATATCAACAGCATGGGAAGCCATCCTGAATAAAACTCTAAAGTAACAACATATGGATAATGCGCAAGTCTACAATGACGCCATCGGTCACACATGACAACATTCCAGAAAGATTTTCCAAAACAACGGTTAATTCTAGACTGGAAATTCGAATTCATATAGGGAATTCTATAGCGCCAGAAGAAGAACCACATTAAGTTCGAAAACGTTTGCAAAGTCCTCTGCATTGGAGAAGAACACTGGTGGTTACAGGCAGTGAAGTTGGGTAATTTATCTACTCTGGTGTTAAAATTTCTTTATAGTTTATAATATTAGGAATTAAGATTTATGAATTATTATACCATTTTTTTCATTTTATATGTTGTTTAATGAATTTTTTTTTCTTTATGTTAAAGGGAAATAAGTAACTTTTTTTCATATGAAACAATCGAAGTATTGAAATAATTGTCTTGTATGAAAAATATGCTTTCTTAGCAAAAAACTTTGAAGATGATATTATTCTATGAATTGCTTATCTATTGATAAATTATTAATTACAAATAAAAATAATTTTGTTTGGTCTTTTTGGAAATAATTTTGCACTTGTAGTTCTATATTAAGCAAATTAGATCAATATATATAATAATAATAATAATAATAATGAATTGCCAGTTTAGGATTAATTTCATTTTATTAAAAATTTATCATACCTACTGTAAATTCACTGGCAGCTGCTGAGCCTTCTTATGGATGATTTGGGGCTAAGTTAATAAACTTAGCACCAAATCATTAATAAACCTAATCATCAAGTCATCGGCAGGTCAAGAGTGGGAGTGTTGCATGGTTTTGAGGTTGTTGTGAGGAGAGACTCCCATATAAAGATGAGTTTCCGGTTGCTAAAGTATATGAGAATTGTTGTTTGGGCCCAACGGGTTATAGCTCTGTTTAGCACCTTTTTTGTCAGCTCTGTGGTGCACTTTCCTTTCACCATATTGTCCTAGTGTTCTTCTAGCGAGCAGAACCATGCAACACTCCCACCCTTGACCTGCCCAACATATAGGTTGCCCTATACAAATGGTTAAACAGTGATTTACATTGGCTGCCTCAGTGTTAATGTGGAGCTGCATCCACGCATGCATTGCATTACATCATATGTATAACATTTCATGCATAACATTGAATGTATTCAAAATTTGTAGCTGGCTCATAATGGCTTTAATTCAAAAGTTTTGTTTAAAATAAAATGCATTCCACTCTCGTTTGACACATTTATGTTCTATTTTAAAAAATTTTACTTGCTTGACAATGACGAAAATAGATTCGTTGAAAGTGCTAGCAATAAAAGCTATTAATAATGCCATGCAGTGAATTTTCCTTCCTGTTATTTAATATTTGGCATGAGGATCCAGCCGTATTGTATGCATGCTATGTACATTTGTAAACAAATCTGGTAAAATAAAAAAATGTTTATTGAAATACATGAAAATAATTTAAATAGTAAATTCTTACTTCAATTTCAATGACTATAATAGCAAATATTTGATTATGTAGCATTAAAAATAAACTTCATTGGAATATCTGCAGGTTTGTGTCTCTCAAGATAAAAAATTAAAATAATAATTTTGTAACTCTTTAAAAGTATGCATTCTTATTTTCATTAATCCTGATGAGAAATAGTTTAATTAAGGATTAAAAGTTTGTCTTACAAAAAATTTTCTTTCAGTATGACTCCATCTTCATTGTGTGGACCTTTTAGACATTTTGAAACAAGATATGAGAGTATCCTGCAAATTATTAGTAGTTTAGGAAGTAAAAGTACATTTGGGAATTTAATTGCAATCCTTCTTTCTCCAGGACTTGTTTCTGTTATTTTACTTTTGTTCTGGTAAGTTAACAGTTTTTTTAATATATAGATATATATTATATATTGATCGTGTAAATATTGATATTAAAAAACTTTTGAATTTTTAGTGTTCTAGTATATTATGTAAGAGTTAAAGCAAAAGCGCACAAAGATATGGTATCACTGTTAAAAGAACATTTAAATGTGGTGAGTTGTAATAAATTTTAATACAATTCTCATAATAAGTGTAATTTTAAGTTTGATGTTATATAAATGTATTTTAAAATTATTGATTAAACTCTAGTAAATTTAAAACAGAATGCTTATAGTACCTACCAGCCAGCATTTTTCATTTTGATATTTTTCCTTTAGAGCAGCAGTTCCCAACCATTTTTCATTAGTGTACCCCCATGGCATTTCCAACTTCCCAACGAGCAACACATGCAAAAATCTCTCACTGCCTGTTTGTAGAGAGTGTTTCCATTTTGAATTTTATTTTGACTCAGTTTTTGGTCCCCTGAGTTGTCTGGTTTTTTTATGCGTGCATGATTTGGGCATATAATACTTTGTTCCAAATTGCATCTTTTGACATGTACTCCTTCATACCTCTAAGCTGGTAACACAGCAGGCAGTACAATTTTATAAACAAGACAGTCTTGTCAATAAAAAATTATTAAAAATACTGAATAAATAATGAAAAAATTACAGATTGTAAAGAAAATCTGTAGAAACTAGCTATGTCTTTTTCCTTGCTAACGATAAAAAATACTTTTTATAAACAAAAGAATACTTTTGTCAAATTGTAAGGAACCAAGTCTGAGCTTTATTTTTATTTTACTTTTATTTTGCTTTCATTATATTTTGTTTGGGGCTTATGTTTATTTAAGACGAAGGTTTCCTCACCATTCACCTTAGTAACTTAAAAATAGAAGAAAAACCAACTCACCGACGAAAGAAAAGCGCCGTAGAAAAACTCGCGCACACTTGCGCTTCCCAAGCGGAAAAAAGTAAGTCCGCACCGAGAAAAAGGGGGGGGAAGACCCCACAACCCAGTTAGGAATCGCTAAACCTTAAAAGAATAAAGCATCCCGATAATTGTTAAAAAGAATAATGTAAAAGGTTAGCGAAGTATTGTCGGAAAATAATCTGCCAGATAAACAAGAAAAATTTAATGTTACAGATAAGTATGTAAATGAGGAGAGTGAGCTCATTCAGAATTGTGACGTCACCTCACACTATAAAGCCTCTAACTCAAGTGAAAACGAACGAGGTGAATTCCTGATAGCAACGAGCTTTGGTGAGCTTCGTAGCAGTGAACGAGAGAGGTGTCCGATAGGATTTTGAAGTTATTCGATTTGTGGATCGACGATTATAGAAAGTCTTGAGAGTTTGAGGAAATAGGTTCCTAGTATATTGAGGTGACGATTAGGATCTTTAATTTATAAGAATTATTGTTTATAAGTTAATTCTTTGATTTTGTCGAATTCCAAAGGGGAATAGAATTAAGTTAGAAATAGATTGATTTGAGTTTGTCGGATTGATTCTTGTTGAGTTTCATTGAATAAATTATTGTTTGATTTTTACTAAATACTGTATAGAGTTTATTAATAGAAGTTTAATTAAATATTTGATTTTGTTATTGACAAACTTTGTCATTATTTAATTCGGTGCACGCTTAAAGTCCAGGCCTGGCACACTAACGCGAATCCGCGTAAAGTACCCGTTAGGGAACGGCTATTTCCGGCACACAGTAGTGTCGATAATCGTTGGAAAGTCGAAAAAAATAATATAGTACTTTACAAAATAACATGTGGGGATATTGTTGAGAGATAATAAGAATAACGGTAATACACCCCACCATCAAAAGTTTGTAGCATAATCACTAATCACACACCATCCCATTACCATTGACTGGCTGCACAACATTTATTGATCTTTTGCATTGTACAATCGGCAGCATAAGTTTTTATTTCTATTTTTGCATTTTGAAATATATAATAAAGTTTGTGATTGTTGCAAGTAAGATTTTTTACCTAATAATTTTTTAATACTATTAATTTGTGATACGTAATATATTATTTTTTCTGCTATAATAACTAACTTTTTTCTGTACCCCTAAACAATCTATCATGTACCCCTGGGGGTATGCGATAGATGGGAATCGCTGCTTTAGATGGTTGTGTTCTTATTATTTATAGGGAAAGAGAATAAATTGAAAAGCTTACAATTTATATTTAGAACTGCTGCTCTTGAAATATAGGTGTTTTATAATTCAAAGATATGCTGAAAATACTAAAACATATGTATGGTATACAGAGAGAAAAAAATCTACATTAAAAATGTGATATGTTTGAAGTGTATTTTAATTATGATTTAAAATTTAGCTGCTGTTATGCTAAAAAAAAAATTTTTTTTCTTTACTCGGGTTAGGTTGGTAACCCAAGAAACATCATGTGTTTCTACATTAGACACATTTCCAGCTTATAATAGTATTTCACACAAAATTGTTCTGTTTCATGAATTATTTTCAATTAGGCAGGTTTCTGTTTTGTAGAACTCTTTTAGAAAAATTTTTTTGTATAAGTAACTATAAAATTAAACATACACAAATTATCTTTCCATTGTTAGACAAAGCATGTAATATAATATTGATTATACAGAAAATGTTTAAGAAAATTAATAGTTTTAGTTATGCTTCAAGATAATGTGATATTCATATGTAATATTTAAAAAATGAATTCAGTATAAAATTTTTTAAATTAGCTTATAATTAAATGTAATGGGAACTTTTCAAGAACAAAAATAAAATCTTTATATAACCCACCCTTTCGTATACCCCGTGTCTCCAGAATGGTCATTGAAAGCAAGAAAATTATCAATATGCAGTTCAGAAATTTCAATTGCAAGCATTAAAATGTTGCTTTTTTCTGTTTCAATTCTGTAAACAAATTATAGATATATTACATAAACAACCAAGCCCAAATATTCTATAATAATCATATTAATTGCCTTATATTTGGACTATAGTTTTGCTAACTAATAATTACTGTAATGTTTAAATTTAATTTAATTCAAAATAATAATTAATGAAATAAAAAATAAATATGACATTACCATTTTGCTTTATTTTTGAATTCTGTAATATAGAAATCAGTTTTACATTAATCAAAGTAGCATTTGTATAAAATTTATAATACTAAATAACTTTTAGTCTGAGCATGCATTACCAAACTGTAGTCATTTGCCAATCTTATAATTCAATCGTAAATATTTATGAATTGCCCCAGTTATGTAAATTAAATATAAAAATAAATGAATATGATTTATCATTTTTATTTTATTTTTCCTAATTTCCTTTGTCCAGCAATAATAATAAAATAAACTCAAAAGAAATTAAACAGAAAATAACTTTATTAGCAATGTTGAAATGATTTATTAAAGCTTTTTTTAATTATTACATTAATTATAAATAATTATTGTATAAAAAAGTTAACTTTTTTTGTATTTTGTATTAGACTGATGATTAATCTGTATCTTAATTACAAGTATTTATTAAAAAATTAAACCTTAATATAAAAAAATAGATCAATATTGTAAAACAGTGGGGAGTATAGTTAAATACCTGATGTCATTTCTCACAAATATATGAATAGATAATTGTCAGTTTGCCACTGGCCAGTGATATTCTGTGAATTTATTTTAATTTGTGATTAGCACTTAAAATCGGATATAACCTATCCCATCACATAACTTACACCACCTTTCAAATTATCTTTCAAGCACAGATAACCAACAGATTATCTTAATGAAATTACAATAAATTCTTGGAATTTTTTTCTTTATAAAAGTAGTTTGTTTTATTCAACATTTGAAAGTTTTGGCTTTTGTATAATCTTTAGTGTTTGACAAAATTGAAAATTATAGATTTTTATTTGTATAATTTCATTTTTTATATCAAAATTTTGACATACTAAACTTTATTTCAATGTTGGAATCAGTTTCTACTTAGTTAGTTACAAATTAAAGTATATTTAATTTGTAACTAACTAATATTTAATATTTAATGCTAACTTTATTTCCTGTTATTCCAATAATCATTACTGTGCATTTCATTTTACATAGATATACAACAATTATTTCTATACTAATTTTATTAATAAGAAATTAAAACTTTTAAATGTCTTGGGATTAACAATTAAATTCATGATTATATTTTTTCAATTTTAATCCTAATTGAGAAATTTTTGTATAATGTAATAATTGCAAACATGCAAAAAATAAATTTTATGAATTAATAGTTTTGTATATTTATTATTTTAATATTATTATAATAAAAATAAGTTAATATAACTTTTCCAGGAAAGCAAAGATAAAGCATTTCTTCTTAAACTCATAGAAAAGGCTTCCAAAGAACACATGCAAGCACACAAAATTTCCTCAGTTAAACATGAACAGAAATTCAGAGAAAATGTAAATGGTATGTATCAATATATCAATAAAGTAAATAGTTTTTAAAATTAATGTATTTAAAATTTAAAAAAACAAATTAAAAGAAAATGCATAATGTTAAGATACTATATAATTATGGAACAACCAAAGATTTTCCCAAACATGAACAACAATCATATAGAATGTTTTTCGAATGTTTGGTTTAAAAGATCATTTAAATGCTTTAATTTTATATATATATATATATATATGTAAACAACATCAGATATATTTTTTAATTGTATTTTTGTGAGAGGGAATATTTTATAATGTTACATATTGAGGCCAATAAGAAGGTTGACTCTGTGAAAAGATTGTTGTTATCCACATTATCTGTTTTTTGGAAATTTTTAAGTGTTATACTTATCTTTGATAAAATGATCAAGGATAATAAGAAAGTTTTTGTACTAATTAATTTTGAAACTAACTTGTAAGTTGAGTAATTAGAAACTTAATATTCACTAAGAGTTATAGATAAACTTATAAATTAGAAAAAGAAAAAGATTTTATAGAGAAATCTTAACTCATGTTTATTTTTTAGGTTTTTTTAAATAAAATAATTAGATCACTTTTACTATTAAACAATGAAACTGTTATTTTCTTCAACTGAAGTAATAGTCTTCTTGAAATAGGAATCATTCTTTACTGTGCTGATCATTTCTTTTTACTCTTATAGCTCTGTTATACAGGGTCTTTATAATTAAAGTTTCACTTTGAAATGGTCATAAAAGGAAAACTACTGGACAAAATGTTATCAAACTTGGTAATAGTTTACAGGAAGTCATGGGATTTTATTTTCGCAAAAAAAATAGTTCAAAAACTCATCACCAGCAGGGAATGGCGCTGTATGCAATATTGTTAAATGAAATAAGACATGAAGACATCAGTTGAAAATGTTTTTAATTGTTTCTAAAATGTATTACAAAGCATGTTCAATGTGGCATCTATCATTTTCTGAAAACAAGTTAAATTGCATTACTGTGTCCTCAACAGTAGCCCTTAGCACATCAGGAGAATGTTACGGACATGTCGATGTATTGCATTTTTCAATTCTGCCAAATTGTTTATTTTCATTTTCAACCAATGTCTTCATGTCTTATTTTGTTTAACAATATTGCATGCAGCGCCATTCTCTGCTGGTGGTGAGTTTTTAGACAAATTTTTTTTTTTTTTTGGTGGAAAAATATTAATGTGTACGTTAACAGTATAATAATTTATACTGTTAATGTTATTCATTAACTGTTAATGTAAATAACAATTTATATTGTTAATTTAAATGTGCGAAATACGACACATGACAGGGGCACTTCTAGTGGCCATTTTTGGCATAATGTTACATGGATGGACCGACATGCATTCAATGGGTTATATATATAGATATGCTTCAAATGCTATTACTCGCATGCAACTCATATTGATCAACGTGAGTGTAGTCATGTGCAGATGGGTTAAAGAATAGTAGAGAGTATGCCGTATGAGTCGAAGTTTGTTCAGCGGCTTTATCTCATAAACTCATAAGTTATAAGGCTGCTTGAGATGAGGTGAAATTGGAGTTTATGTCCGAAGAGCCATATGCAGCTCATGAGCTACTCCTGCCAACCCCTTCCCTAAGCTATATCTGGCAAAAATAAAAAAATGTCTCTGTTAGGTTAGGTTAGAATGGTAGGATGATAGCACAGGTGAAGACAAAGACGTTAAAAAGTTTACTCTACAAAGCATAAAAAAAGGACTACACTTAGCCAAATAGTTAATCATATTTTTTAAATGAAGATCCTTCAAATGAAAGGAGCACAAAGTTTAAAAGAGAACTTCATAAGTGCTTAGCACCATATAAGGAAATTTATAAAGATCTTTTATTGACTATTAAACACAAGACTGTGTTATTAATTAAACACTTGGCATTTTTCCTCTTTTGGAAAGTGTGAAAGGAAAAACGCCAAGTGTTTAATTAATAACACAGTCTTGTGTTTAATAGTCAATAAATACGAAAACACGGTTTCAGAAAACAAAAAAAAAATCTTTTAACCAAAAGCAAGCAATCTAAAATAACATAATTTTTGCAAAAGGTAGAGCATGGATCTGAAGATAATGTGGAAAAATGCTCAGAGGATAAGGATATCTTGCCAAAAAGAAAATGCCCTCAGTTAATAGTGTTTAGTGATGATGAAGAAAACATTGTTTAATTTATATTAATATGTATCACTTCTTAAGAAAATGTTAATAAAGATGTTATCTTAATTATGAAGATATAATAGCATGTTTTTTAATTTTTGGAACCTAACTCCTCTTTTCGTACTAGTTCTTTGTTTTGTATAACATGGCAATTTTTTGGAACATAACTCCCGTGTTATACGGGGGTTACCTGTATTTTTAATTTATTTAATTTAAAATATATGCTCTCCTTCTCAAATCAGTAGTGGCTTGGCCCTATACATTATACTTTTCCTTTAACAATGACTTGTGCAGTTATCTATCTAAGACCTTTCAGGGAGAAATTTTTGAATTGAAATAATGTGACTTCTGGTACAAACCAGAAGTTCCTATATAGTTAATTGGGGCCTCCTGCCCTTAAGCTGTCCATATCTGGTCTTGTCTTTCATCTAACTCCGTTCTCAAGATTAAGGAAAGACAGATGGACAACGGTGGGAATTTATAGATCTACAATTTTTTTCAAATTGCTGCCCAAAACAGACTTATAATGTCAATTACTGATACAGTTACCCTATATTTTAAAAAATCAAATTTGCTAAAATTTAAACATAAAATATTTATCAATATTATCAAAAGTAGTAGTAAACTAGATATACCAGTAATTATTATTTTAGTCCATATAGAATTTAAAATAAAATTTTTGAAAAATGAATAATTATCTTATAATATAATATAATATATATATAATAATTCTTTTTATTAATGTAGATTTTGAAATGCATCCCTATAATACTGAATCAGCACCAATAGAAGTTATAAATCATTTGTATCAGGAGAAATCATTAAATCGTAACAGTTTTGTTGACAGTTCTCATTATTCAATGAAAGACAATCCCATTTATATGGAATATGACACAGAATCCAGTCCTGATTCCTACTTTAATAATTCAAGGCACAGATTAGTCCAAAAGGGACCTGATAAATTTAGGCCTTGATGCAATTTTGAAAGTTTTTATATATAGTATGTATGTTATATACATATATATATTATATATTTAAAAGAATGAATGTTGTGCAATTTTGTTTATATTGATGGTTGTGTTAATAAATTTATATCACTTTTTCCCTTGAATTAAAATTTAAATAAGTATGAAACTTTTAAACTAATCCAAAGAATTAATTGACTTGTGAAATAAATTAGTTATATTATCATAATATTTTCAAAAATTGATGTAACATAATGTGTATAAACTATTCCTTGTTAATTTTTACTTTCTTTGTTAATATAAATTCTAATCAGTTTTTTGTATAATACATATTTTGTTTTTTGTATAATACATAACAGCATTAAAAACAAAGAATATTCTTTGTTTTTAATGCTGTTGCATATTATTAGATTGCTGTATAATTGTTAAATGTAAAAATATATTTTGATAAATTTTGTGTTGTTTGATATGTGCAAAATATATATGCATCTATTAAATAATAAAAAAAGTATTAAAATTTTATAGAAAAAAAACTTGATTCTGAAGTAAAAAAAATTAATTTGATGATATAGTTTATTCATCACAAAAATCAGTTTTTTTAAAAACTAATGAAATTAAAATAATGAAAATTTATAAGCAAAAATAGCTTATGCTATAATAGATGATTTTGATGAAAGAAAATACAATATTATTTTTAAATGTTTATGTTTTATCATAAAAAATTAGCTCAAAAAAGCAGTCAGATGCTTGATTCTATACAAAGACCTTAACGTTTGAAGATATATACAGGGTATTCATTTTAACATTTATCCATGTGCAAAAGAAATCTTTTCAGTATTGCATGAGTATATGCGTAGTATATGGAGCATTAGTTCCACTGTGATGATTACAGTAAAATGAATTCATTCATTCAAAAAAGTACAAATTTAAATCACACAGTTGTTCTGTGGCAATACATAAATTTTCCCATTCTCTCTCAATCACAAATACTGTAGAAGGGAATCATTTTAAGAAGATTTAGTGTAATGTATAAAGAATCTTTGGCTGTAAAAGATAAAAACCAAACATTGCCTAAATTATTACAAAACAGTTATCTTTATTTTGATATAGTATATATTCAAAACATCTTGGTCTTGGTGCAACTGCAAAGTATTTATTGTAGCAATATGTTTGCTTCTCATTAGGGTTTCTCATTTCCCCATGTTTTGTTTGTCTCAGGATTCCGTGATAAAAGTGAACTGTTTCCTGGAATCCTGGGATAGAATTAATTATTTTTAAGATATACAAAATATCTTGAAATCAAATGATGTAATTATTTTTCATTTTTTAAAGTAATTTAATAAGTTCTGTAACCTCCAAAATCATATTAATAATGCTGTATAAGATATATAATAAAAATTACCTTTGAATTATGTAGAAATTTTTACAAATAGAAAAAATTTATTAAAGTTTGCTGGAAACCGTATACAACAACAACAACAAAATGCTTTGAATTGAGTTGAAAATTAAAAAAAAAAAAAATTAACTTAGATCAAACTTCTAATTTAAAAGGTAATTTTCATTTTTTAAATAAAACATAATACAAAATATTATTATAAATTTTTATAATAAGATTTGAAAAAGCAAAGTTGGTCAATACTCCGATCACTCAATCTAATTCTTATTTTAGTAATGAAAAGTCTTGCTACTGAGAATGCCCTTTCCGATTCAATTGATGTGATTGGAATCATGTTTAATGCATTTAAGAGAAGACAGGTGATATGTTTTTTTCACCTGTAGACTGGAAGATTTCTAGTTCATTTTTGAGATTGTAGTACTTCTTTTGCTCCTAGTATTCTTGATTTGTCTACCTCGACTGCTTTAAAAGAAACATCATAGCCCAATAATTCGGCAGTTTGTTTGTCTTTAATAATCAGGTTTATGAAGAAAAACTTCATACTTGCAGACATTGTACTCGTTTGTATCCTTGCCTAATTTGCACAACCTGGCATGACACAGTTATTGAAGATACTGGGCATGGTTAAAAATTAAGACAGCATAAGCACAATTATTCCAGATATTGCAGGTTCTGACAAGTAAAGAATTTTTAGAGTCCTGTCACAAATAAGCTACATATTGATTATTGACCATTTGTGACATGCCATAATGAACAAAAATTAAAAAACTAATAAGTAGGTTTAAAATTAATAAATACAAATGTATTCTGACAGTTTGAGTTAATTATGCTTTCTATTTGTAAAATTTTCTCAACCTTAACACAAAATAAGAAAAAAGTGAATTTTTAAGAAATTTGCAGGATTTCCCAGATTTAAAAAACAATTGGTATCTCATTTGAGAAACCCTACTTCTCATGCATTTTGTCTCATCTTCTCATAAAGTAAAATCATTTTACAATAGTGTTTGTAGTATAAGGCATTATTGCTGTGCTCTAGCAATTAGTATACTGCATCTTGTTGGCTCATTTAAGAGGACATCAGCACTGTGTCATCACATGATTTGTGAAGATTGCATTTTATTCTTATATTATTTGGAAAATTTATGTATTGCTGAAGAACTTCTTCACAAATTACATGTTTCTTTTTGAATGAATTAATTTATTTTACTGTAAACATTGCAATGAAACTAATTCATCAGAAAGTAGGCATATTATAATGCAATGCTGAAAACATCTCTTTGGTAGCTAGATAAATGTTAAAGTGAACAGCCTGTATATATTAACATAGCAGATCCCATTTTTATGACTATTCTAATCCTTTATTTTTATTACTATTGTAAATTTACTTATAACTAAATGAAATTTAAAGTATTTTATTTTTTCTTTGACATTTTTATATAGTTCAAACTGCAATTTTTCAGGAACTTAATTACTTTTTATGATACTAAGCTGATAAAAAGATAGCTTACATAACATGATTTCTAGGAACTAGGAACTGATAAAAGTGAGAATCTGTTGAATCTTATATATAAAAACAATAGTTTCTTGATTATCCAGAATTGGGTTAATTAGAATGTTAAAACACAAATGTTTGCCAGAAATGTGATAAATTATAGAAGATAAGTGTTAAATTGCAATGCTATAGTAAAGGGAAGAATTTTCCAAACTGTGCTCAAATTATTCACAAATTCAAAATAAGTTTGAACACTTATTAAAGTTATCCACTTATTATTTAGATTTCAACCTTTCTGTATATTTTATACAAATCATCAATTTATCTAGAATTTGATTATCCAATTGTTGTTACTCATTGATTCTGAATAATTGAGAATTTTGTATAATAAGGTTGTCAATTTAAATATCCCATTCTCTTTTGTATACACTGTAATATGATTTATTACATTGTTTATTGTGTAAATTTTAATTGTATTGTGACTAATTATATTTTATCAAAATTAATAATTAATCTAGCAAATAATTATTATACATCAAATTTGATCAAAATTTTAACCTATATTTTTTGTTGAAGTTATTGTGTATATTTTTTCATAAATTATATTTAAAATGTTACTAAATGTTTATGATGATATACAGTATAATTATTTTTTTAAAATATAATTAAAGTTACTAACAAATTTTTACTAAAAGCATTGATTTATTTACATTTTAATTTTTTATTAATATCTTTGCAAAATAGAATTTAATTTATACTGTACTTAATATAATGAAATAAAAATATTAATTTAAATAAAATTTTATAATTATATTTATGAAAAGTTACCAAATTTTAATTTTATTCAAAACAATATAACATTTGCCAATCCAAGGAAACATAAGAAATGAAAAAAGAGGATTAGATTGGATGAGCAGATTGCCCATGTTACATTACTATGTCCCATTAATGGGACACAGTAATGTAATACATGGGCAGTCTGCCAAGGGGGATGCCACCCAGGAGAAGTTTCTATGAAACTGGCTCTTATTTAGGTATATTTATACAGGTAATAGAAAACCAGGAAAAATGCACATTGGCCACTGTGTTAGTGAGGTGTGCACCCACAACCAATTACCAGTATTCAGTAGTATTAACTTAGCCACTAGTGTTGGACAAAAAAATAGGAGAAAGGCTCAGATAATCATCATTCTACTGTATAAGAATTTCGATGGGAAGATGAATTGACTTGTGTGAAAGTATCTCACAGTTCGCTATTTTCTTCTGCACATAAAATCTACCTGTTTTGTGTAAAAGAAATTCTATTCCATTTTATTATATTTTATCTCATTTAAATCAATAATTGTGCTTTAATAATTAATTATCCAAGTGTTTGCATGAAGAGACTTAGTCATATAACGATACAGTATAAGTGACAAACATTCTAGTTGGTGGGATTTGTTATGGTTGTCATGCCTGACAAAAAAATTTTGGGAGTTAATATTTTCAAAAATCGAGCATGAGGGAAATGAATGTCTCCACTTTAATTAAAATGTTATAAATTTATCAATAATTATTGTAAACGTAAAGAATGTATATATTTATTTCAGATTCATTGGGAAAAAAGTAGTTTAAATGAAATGTCTCAAATCACAGCTTTCGATATTTGTCTCTGCTATCGTTTGCATCTATTGATGAACGATTTAACTAAATATCAGCGGCTTTTACACATGCGTTTAACCACGTGATTTACGAGCCACGCAGGTACGCGCGGGAAAGAGTTCACGTTGAAGCTAAATGTGGCATGCAGTTGTGAGGCCAGCCGATTAGGGGTGAGGTGTTTTCGACAGCCGAGCGGTTAATTCTGTCGTGTGGGCGCGGAATGACTCACCGAGACAGGTTTACCATATAAAACCGTTTAATAATATACATAAATCGTTCTTACAACAATCTAATGCGGGCAAGAGCTTATCCCACGATGGGTTTCTGTCACAGTTCCTAAAAATCGGACAGTTCGATTGTTCGATTGGTCCTTGGGGAGCTTTCGGCACTGTGGACGCAGAGAACGATGGCTCCGGGGCACGCACCAACACTTGTAGTGATGTCCTCGGTTGACAAGTCGAACCTCGACGATCCTGGACGTGACCTCGGCGATCCTAGAGTGGACGGGTTGGCGAAACCAGTTCCTAGGTCGTCGGAAGAGCCTTCGTTGCGTC